GTTCCCCCAGCGTTTCGGACAGAACTTGAAGAAACAACCGAGGATCTCCCGCAATTAAGACAGACTCACTAAGTACATCGCGCTACCGCTTATTTAGTATTCGTAGATACTAAATGGTGTTACTGTTATTGTTGAATGTTATGTTGTATATGCTGTTCCTGTTTTTCCACTTTGGATTACTCATTACTGTTGCTCCATCGATCGGAGCCAATCGGTCTTATTTCATCATCCATAGCCTGTATCCTCGAAGATTTGAAGACGATCGAGCGGGAATCAATAAGCCCCGCCTCATGCTATAAAAGGGAGGGGGTTAGCCGGGGCAGTCAGTTCAGTTCAGTTCTTCCTCGTCAGCTCTGACGGCTAACAGCCCTCCCGCTACCCCTGGGTATTCTGCTTTAACGATAAATGATGCGATCATGGGACTTCCAGAGATCCGACACATACTTACTCGCAACAACCCTACATATTTCTATTACTACCAGTCAGCAAAGCGGTCTCATTCCGCTCTAACCACGGTGGATTTGGTCCGCCTGTTTTATTCTCGATCGTTCCGTCCGAAATGCAGGGAAAGCGATGTGTTTAATAGTTTAGAGAGCAAAACTGAAATCTCGACCCACGTTTGAGCCTCTGAGGACGACGACCAGGTCGAGAGATCAGGCCTATAATAAGGTTCCACTTAAAAACCCCGCTGTCACAGAAAAATATTATCAATCATGACAATGCCGAGGTTATACGAAACGAGAAGTTGCAGACACAATATTACGCAAGGATAACATTTAAATGCTACCCGTTGAAGGAGTGATCGATGCGAAAGCCATTTGGGAATTACTGTTTGATACTGGTGTGGAGACTGTATCGACATCGGCGTCATCTCTGCGGGTGGACATAGCAAATGGTGTCGAGCGTTGTAATGGTACTACAACTGAATCTATGCTCCCACTCATAGCACCTGATCTACGTGCAGGACGTTCTGCTCCTCTGGAACGACGCTCTTTCTCCTTTGCTGCACTGTCGACTTTCAGCGCCTAAAACTGAAACATGTAAACCAGACTTACTACCGCCTCATTCCATTGAACAAAACTGCCCCTGCCCTGCTTAAGGACAGTGGGCACGATTGCTGGGGCGGACGGTTGTCGCTAACGTGATTGGCTGAAGGGCTGCGTGGGGTATGGCCAAACGTCTTTCGCGGTACTTCCACCAGTAACACCGGGAACATCCGCCCGCCTCCAGCAGTCGTGCTCACGGCCTTTAATTCCCCATCAAAAGGACAGACTCTTGAGTCTCTGAGTTCTTCTCATTGGTGACCCACTCTGCTAAGATTACAGAGAGAAATGGCTCAATAAAGAAGAGTGTGAGCCAAAATCAAGAGTTCCCGAATCAAGAAGTCCCATTTTGAATCATACCAGAGAACGAGAGTCTGCCAATACCATAACGGAACTAGCGTGATCATTTAATTTCAGGAGCTGCTGGACTTAGAGGGGCATTTTGCACTTTCGCTTGTTCCTTTTGTTAATTCATGTCGACCAACAGGTCACACTCAGGTCAAACCTCTAAACACTTGTGAAGCTGCGGAATCGTCCGAGTGAGTCACTTTGGTCATAAGGATTTTAGAGGTCATCACAAGATGGCCAGTACAAGCCTAGCTCAGAACCATCCAGGGCTCCACCGAGCCGAACTGCGCCTTTGACCCCACACAGTCCCCACACGTCAGAGAGAAAAAGGGCTTTCTAGGGACCTAATGTCATGCTGGCTTAATACCTGAGGACAGCTGCCGGTTTAGGCAGGAAAGGGGTAAAAATGGATGTCCTTTGTCCCAGCTCTGCTCTCTGCTTGACCAGCAACTACCTACCGCCGCCGCGCTCACAACCAAGTTCAGGACACGCCCCTTCCAACGCTGATATAAGGACTATACGTTATTCTATCAAATAATAGAAATAAAAAAGACAACTGTGAGCACTTAGAACTTACGGCCTGTACAATCTCGTTGATTTGGCGTTGCATTTCCTCCGAATTTTCCTCTGGTTTACCCTTTCCTCGTGCTCCAGGGCCTGCACGGGGGCGTTGGCGAGGTCTCCGTGACACATTCCCAACATGAGTCGCACCAATAGTTGCTGGACCTGCACCGGGAGAGAGAAGCATGCCCTCAACCCCTTCATTTTCAGATTCCAGACGAAGTGCTGCTGAGGCTGCGGTGTCTCCGCCTGTCTGTTGCAGCACCGTCTGCAGTAAGTCCTCGACGTTGAGGGGATTATCGCCAATAGCTGAAAAGTAGATTTCATTGGTCCTACTTGAGGAATAAGAGCAAAGGTTCGGCTTTTTAGGGGAGTAGTCAACCACTTACAATGAAGCGCTTCAATGAGTTTGTCCCCATAAGGTCGTACAGCTCGAACACGTCCTTCCAACATAGCAACCTGAAAGTAAAGCATCGTTCCTCTGAGATGACCAGTTTTCACAATACAAACACTAAGCACATACCTCAGTTTCAAAACAAGACACTCGCTGGTTCAGATCCTTGTGATGCGCAACAATCTGCTTTGACCTAAAGTTCGATAAAAAAGTCGTTCTCCAAACGCAGCGGACATGATTGCTGAGGGCGGGAGGTTGTTGCCAGTCATTGGTGG